TGTTGATTAGAGGACATCACCACCAAAGTAATCAGCTCATTAAAAGTGGCGTTTACTTAAAATAATGTTGAGCCATAAAAAGTTAATTTTTGGTGAGTAAAACGATTAAAGCTGAAGAGACAAGAAAACGTACGGTATAACATTTAAGATTTAACATTTAGTGAATTGAAATAAGAGAGAGTTATACTACCTGTTTTCTCTGGTGGGGTGTCAGGCAAACTTTGGATGCATAATTTAAAAGTTTGCACCTTATGAGTATACTCATTGGTATCAGTGTTTGATGAGTTTTAAAGCCCTTCTTGCCTCCCCAGGTCGCCTCGGCCTGCTAGACTACGATGAAGTGGAGCTGAGTAACCTGCACAGACAGGTGCTTCATGGGGAGGAGAACCAGGGCCAGGCCAAGGCGCTCTCTGCTGCCAGTGCAGTTCAGAGGTACAGACTTGGTACTGTTTTATTGCTGCAATCAAGTGTCTGCATGTGAACAACTGCTAATATCTATGCAAGAAACCAGAGACTGGGTATTTCTCTTTTTAGTCCTGGTCACTTTAAGGAAGCCTTGGTTGCATGCAGGTAAGCGTGAAGGACTAAAACATAGTGCAGTGGCCACAAAACCACCGTCCTTCATCCCAGCACAGTTTAAACTCTTATTCTTCATTTAGTTCCTACATTCAACAACAGTAACGACATCTTACTTTGACATTTGCTGTCAGCCCTGCAGGCTCAGTCTGACACGATAGGCGACGGCTTCCCAGATTGCTCTCTGTGTACACTGCGTATAATTCGTGGTATGCAGATGTGTAGAGAATACCAAAATCATCTAGGACTTCAAATATGAAAGATTTTTTGAGTATACTGTTACTAATCTGTCTAAAAATGCCCTCCCGCCCCGAACTGGAAACAGAGAGCTTACTGTTTGGATATTATTAGTAGATGTTCAGTAACTGTGATAATTAGTGTATTTTATGCTTTGTGCAAACATTGGGCTGCGTTATAATGCACACCGGCGCTTTCCAGTCTCACCACAGGTTATATTTGGTTTTGTATTTCACCCCAGTCTACAAATATTTTGTAAACATGTTATTTTAGAGACAGCTGTTTTTGTGCCTTTTTGCCACACAGTGGGCCTTCTGTGGTTTCGCGCACACGTCTTTAACCTACGGCCACACGAGGGCGTCAGTTCGCTGACTAGCAAAGAACTGAAACATCAATTTAATGCTGTGCAGCACTTGTTCCCCAGTTTTATTGAGCCTTGTTGTTAATAATTGCTCTTTAATGATCGTTTCTTGCATGCACGATGCAAATGACGTGCGACTGTAATGTTTGTCAGTGTTTTTCCTCTGCGTTGGAAGTCGAGATGGCAAAGATGGAGAAGGAAGGAAGCACGAGCAGGTTTCCGACAGGTCTGCTGCCACAGTCGGGACTCACATGTTGCGTTTTTTTTGCTTTCTTGGCTCTCGTGCTGCTGCAGGACAGTTAAAGTGTTTGTATTAAATGTGCTGTTTATGCAGGACACAGACTTTATAGGGAATTACTTGAATCTGCATTTATCTCTGCAGGTTAAATTCCACTGTGGAGTGCATTCCCTACCACCTGCAGCTCTCGCCGGAAAACGCTTTACAGCTTATTCAACAGTATCCTCTATTGCACAGACCTCTACTTGTAAAATCATGAATATGTCACATAGCTGCTATCTGCCAAGTCTCGTTCTGTGATTACTTATCAGCGCACATGAAGAGAAATTCAGAAGAAGCTGTAAGTAATGCGTGTCTGATAAACCGCGAGGACGCCTTGACTTCACTGACCTCATATATGACATTGTGGCTGATTGCTCAGACAACGTCCCCACTCGTTATCTGGTGAACGACGCCTGCGTGCTCAGCGGCAAACCTCTCGTGTCGGCGAGCGCCTTACGGATGGAAGGGCAGGTAAGGTAGAAGGCAGACCCTCGTTTTCCTCATCGGTGCAGTGGGTACAGTATGCGGTATCTTTTGTGTGTCTGCAGTTGACGGTGTATAACTACCGTGGAGGCCCCTGCTACAGATGTCTGTATCCAGTGCCTCCACCTCCAGAGACGGTGACCAACTGCTCTGATGGAGGAGTGTTAGGAGTGGGTGAGTCTTGTTCCCTCACCTTCACAGAGGCCACAGTCGGTGTAAATTTATAATATTTTATAATATAATATTATAATATTTTCCACTCGTATTGAAGTTCCAGGGATAATGGGCTGCTTCCAAGCTTTGGAAGTCCTCAAGATTGCCTCTGGACAGGGCTGTATCCTTTTTTTCTTCACCTTCTTGTTATATATAGTTTAGTTATTGTGCTTCTTTGCATCTGAGCTTTTTTGCTTAGTCACCAGAATTGATTAACAATGAGCTGCTGAATGATAAGGAGGGGAAGGGAGATTTTTGTCTGCGTTCTCTGAGTTGACTATTTATTTGCCATTGTCGTGTTTTCATGCTGGTACTGAGAGAATAGACGCGCCCCGTCCTGCCTTCTGTATTGCACTTTCCCGGCTAACGCCTCCCGTGATGCGTCAGCCGGGAAAGTGTTGCACCATATTCCCAGCAAAATCCCCGAATGTTGCTATGGCTTTTAATGTACCAGTGGGAGACGCACCAGAACCTCTAAATGGAGCGACACGGTGCTTCTCAGAAGTAAGTAGCCTTGTTAGTAACCTTGACCGGGCGTGCCAGCTTCCTGCGGCCAGCAGCTGGTGATGTTTGACGCCCAAGATGCCAGGTTCAGGTCGATCAGGCTGCGGCCAAAGCAGGCTGGCTGTGCTGTATGTGGAGAAAACCCCAGCGTGACCCGGCTGGTGGACTATGAGGCTTTCTGTGGATCTGCTGCCACAGACAAGGTTGGTCATAAGAGAAACTCACGGAGTTCCTCATTTTCTGCAGTCACGCCTATTTACGGAGGAATGCTGGTTTTTGAAGGTTTCAAACGTGTTTCCTAAATCAACTTGATTTATATTAAAGTGACATTTTTAAAAGTGCAAATAATTATCCCTAATTCTCTGAAAATTCTCTTTTCAGTGCCGCAAACTAAACCTGCTGTCCAAAGAGCAGAGGATCACAGTGCAGGTGGGGATTATATGGTGCAGAGCGCTCGGTCATTGCGTGACTCCCTGTATTTAGTGCTGTTTATTATATGATTACTCACAATTTTCTCAGTTTTCATGCACATTCATAAACTGATTGCATCTCGGTGCTGACCCAGCCCCAAATGGGAAATGACTTAAAATGCGCCTGTAAATTTTCTATGGGAAAGAATAACACGTTCTCTTTGGCACCGAGCGCAGGAGCGTGGATTGCATCTGTTTATGTTTCTGCAGAACTGCTGCTTTGAAACCCACTGAGTCATTTAGCACAGAGATGGGGATCATGATTGATTGGGGTGCAGCTGAGATTGTGCAAGAGGCTGCAGTTAGAAACAGTTTTGCTTCCTGTGAATTAAGGAAAAACATGTTAAAACGTTCATATTACTCTACAATTACAAGTCCAGGCACATGAGTAATTTTGGTTTCCCTGCTTACGTAGAAATCCACGGCTTTCCCCAAAAAGCGAAGCCGCACCTCTGTAATTGTAGCAGCTGGTAGTTTAAGTGTATTAAGGGCTGTTTTAATGTGATTCCAGGACTATAAATCGATAATGGACAGTGAAGAGCCCCATCTCCTGTTGGATGTACGCCCTCTGGTGGAGGTGGATATATGCCACTTAGCCTCCTCTCTCAGTATCCTTTAAGACACAAATCGTTCTGGCTGCACCATAATCGTGTATTTTCTCTTCGTGCGAGCCTCGTGTCTGTGTGGCTGTTCGCCTTACATTGCTGCCAGATATTCCACTCTCAAGTCTGGAGGAGAGGAAGAGGGAACATCTCCAGTTACTCCGGGAGAGAATCAGCCAGCTGAAGCACCAGATGGCAGGTGACTGCCAGCCGCCAGGTAACACAGCAAAAACACCATTTAGGGTGTGTTGTTTGAAATGAACGGGCACGTACAGTCACTTGTGCATATTCAGAGGCCACTGTGTAGTCTCACACTGCTGGGCCAGAGGCTTATTTTGGACAGCTAGAAACAGGTTGTAATGGGGTTGCTATGTGAGGCCTTTTCCAAAACAAGTACAGTCAGCCTGTGCAGCTGGCCCGCTTTACAGAAATTAACATTCAAAACATTATTTTGGTGACGTTCTTTAATCAGTGAGATAAATTTAGCCTGGACTTTACTCTGTCTCGATTTTTAAATATTCACCTGCTTGTACCTGATGTTGTGTTTCAACCAATCAAACGTAATGAATCCACCAGTCTCTCTTGACTTCTCTCTCCAGTTTACGTGATCTGCAAGCAGGGTAACGATTCTCAGAAGGCCGTGCAGATTCTGGAGAAGATGAGTGGATCAGAAGTGGACCGCGTCACCGTAAAAGACATCTGTGGGGGCCTCACGGCTTGGGCGAGGGGAATAGACTGCACTTTTCCGCAGTATTAATGCATTTATTATGTTTTTACTGTTAATAAAGGCTGCTTTCTGTTTGTTTCTCTGTTGTTCTTGGCTTTCTTTAAACTGAGCATCCTGATTAGAGAGAGGCTGTTTGTAATGTTCTCAAATGAAAAATCTCACAATGCAGTGGGACTGTTGGACAATTTCCTGAAATTTGTTCTGTAATATTCCGAGTATTAGTTAAATAACATATTAGCCCTTCAAAGTTAATCTATTCATAGACAACGTCCCTTTATCTTAAGCCGAGCGCACTTTAGGTAATAAACCTCGACTTGTATGAACTCCTTCAGTGTCCCCTTGCGACTCTTGCTTCCTACTTGGGAGAGCCATTTATTACAATTCGATCCGGGTCATGTGGAGTAAAGTTTTTTTTTCTTTTTTTTCTTTTGGCATGACCAAGTTGAAATAACGGAAAAGAAAAGGCACATGCGCACTGGTTCGAGCTCGAGCGGAGGCGCCATTGCTTCACATGGTGTGTAGTTCAAGTTTTCCTCCCCACTCATGGAAAGTCAGTTATGCGGACATAATAAAAAGACTCCAAGCCCCAGCGACGGTCGCTGCTCTTTTTCTCGTCGAGCAGGGGGAGTAGTCACAGCTGGAAGGATAATAAGATGCGCATGAATTTACAATCTGGAATAAAAGATAAGAGAAAATTAATGCACGGAGCGGCTCGTCTCAGCGAGACTCGCTGCAAAACTAAAGTTAGTATGTGTGAGCTGTGGGCTGTGCCGGAGTGCTTTCTGTGTGACTTGTAACAAAGTGCAGAAGAATAAAGTTCCGACTGCGCTTCCCTCACTTGATGGAGTCGAAAAGTTTCTTCAGCCCTCTCACAATGGATCGAAAAGCGCCCTGCGCCGAGAGCGAAGGTAAAGTATCCTGTAAGAAACGTTTAACTCGACGTTTGGCTTTAACCCGACTGTACCGGGAGAGAGCGTTCAGCGGCCAGGCTCAGAAAGCGCAGATTCGGGGCTTGTATAACTTGTTTTGCTGGCATTCTCGGCTCGGGTTGTGTTCTGCCAGCGAGCCAATCGAAAGTGGGAGGGGAGCAGATGTTCAGAAACCTCGGTTCCAGATGTTTGTGGGGTTTGAATCCGTACAAACACACAAGTGATGCCCTTTATCGACGTTTGCGCGTCTTGTGGCCTGCTGTTTTGGCGTTTTACGCGCTCGCGTACAGTCGCCTACTTACAACTTTCTCACAGTTAGCACAAGTCGAGAAATGTAGCGAGAGAATTTAAAATAATTGAAATTATAGACAAGCTCCAAACTTTGGGGGCGTGCTTTGCTCCGAACCTTGCGGATAATAATAAATGACTTTATATTTGATTTGAAAAAGCTCTGAATAAAGATTTGTGACAAACGTAAAATGAAACGTCCTCTTAGTGAATCCAGCTCAGCGTCTTTACACTGTAAGAACAGCAGCTGATTCATTCATACACCCTGAATGCTTTTCACAACTGTTTTCAGATATGAGAATGCTTCTCGTTAAAAAGTAGTGTGTGTGTGTGTGTGTGCGTGCGTGCGTGTGTGTGGTGACAGGCTTCCTGTGGTCAGAGTGGATTACTGACTTCACTAAGGAGAAGGAACAAAACTCCAGGATATGAAGTGTGTTGCTGTGATTTCACTGCAGAGGCCTGCGTATTGTTCAGACACTTCTCCTCCATCACCTGTCAGTCTGGTGACAGAGCTCGGGCGGTGTGAGCTCCAGCGGGTGGATAGGCTGTTAGTTTGAAAAGGACAGTATCATTTTGACAATAAACTGACTGTTACTGATGAAGACCAAAGATTCCCCCTATCAGGAGTTCATCCACAGAAACCCAGCTGTGCTTTTTTCTGCCAGCCCTCACTGATTCCTCCACTGTTCAGACGTTTACGTTGCAACTGGAAGAAACCCAATGTCTGCCTCCTCTCCCCCATCCTTACCTCGAGCCTTCCTCCACTCTGTCCATCTGCACCACCCGTCCTTGCCATGCACCCCGTCTGGACCCATCTACACACGGCTGTCCAACGGCAGTCACAACGCCCCCAGCCCCACCAGCTCCCGCAGCTCTTTCCATGGGGTGTCCTTCCTGCTGCAGATCGGACTGACCAGAGAGACGGTGAACCTGGAGGCCAGTGACCTGTCGCTGTCTGCTGTGAAGGACCTGGTGTGCTCCATAGTGGATCAGAAGGTAGGGACGTCTTCATTCATTCTTTATTATACTTAACAGTCTATTTTCTGTCATAAAGGACGTGCTTCACCTTCATTGTTTTCTTTAATCTCTTCTGAAATGAAGTGTATTGCACAAAAACAAGCTCGCTATCTGCAGGGAGCTTGTTTTTCACAGTGCAGCCGTGATATCAGAGGCTCAAGAGGACCAACGTGACGAAGCACCAGCATGTGTTTTGCCATCTCCTACCATATTCATCTGTTTTGGTTTTGTTTTCCAAAGCAGACATCTGCGCCATGTGGCTCCCAATGAGTCAAACGCCGCAGAAGCATGCACACAACAGCATCGACGCTCCTCCAGTTACGGTCTACTAGCGCCTGTTATTTATGCTGCTGTGTAAGGTCACTGGACACGATGCAAGTGCAAGTACAAACTCATATGCACGCGCATATATGAAGTGGTTTTGTGCCCGCTGTGCATCTCGAAGCATTTTTTTTCACATGGTATTGGTGAAGGAGTTCAGCCTCAGCAGAAGAACCGGCTTTAAGCACAAGTATAGGTTGCATCTTTCAACAAACGAGTGCTGTGGCGCGTTTACCTCGCCTTACTTTCTATGTTCTTGTTGTTTTGTGGTGAAACTGGTCAGAAATTTATAGTCATACTGCATGTGCGTGTGTGGGCTCTTTTTATAATGTGTGAAGTAAGAATGAGGGTTAAACATTTTAATTTCCTTCATCTGAAACAACCTCATATTATAAGCACAGCAAAGCCGCAGTACCCCAGATGTTATGGCCGTCATGTGAAGTGGTTTTCTTGTCCATAATCATATAATAATTACAAAAAGGACAAAAATAGTATTTGGTATAAATTGGAAAGTTAAACACTGTATTTGCACAGTGAAAAAAATCATAGTTCATATCTATCTGCTAAATGTGTGGCGTTTCTAACCATTTATAGGTGCTCTTATAGGTGCTGTACTTAACAGTTGTGAGGGATTAATAGTATGCAAAGCCTATTGGAATAATGAAATGGCTTCTGTGTGCATGCACATGTTTAACCTCTTGCAAATAATGATGATTACTCCATTTGTGTGTGTAATTATCATTGAGTGCATAAAAAGAGAGGGTGATTAAAAAAAGCACTTTCATCAGCCACTAGAATCTGAACATTTATGTAGGTCAGAGCCGCGCTGGTCTTTGAAGTCATGATAATTACAATTAAAAAGGAAAAAAAAGGAATTAGGAGCAAATTTGCGTGGAACAAATGGGAGACTGTGCGGGAGCTGTGTGCGCCGAGCCCGCGTCCTTTGCTTCGTGTTGTCCAAGTTGACATTCCAGAGGAGCAGGGTAATGTTGTTGTTCTTTACGAGGTCTGCTGATTCTCACTAGCTAGCTGGTTATGAACAGTTCTGGTTCACAGAGCAGAAAATCTCATCGCTGCACAAATTTGCATGGATCTCGTAACATATTGGTGCAGAATGTGCAACAGGAAAAGGTGAGGAAACACGATGCTTTAGAAACACACCTTAAAGAAAATCAGTGCAGCGCCTGCATTTTGAGTTGAGATCCAACCGAGATAAGGTCCAACTTTATCTCTGTATCACATGCGTTCATTCAAAGATGGCGGGCAGTCTGATAAGATGTGCCAGGTGATTATAAAATTTATGGCCAGCAGTCATGCGAGCCTATAAACATCTGACCACGCTGTATATCTTTTCATCATAATATACTGTACATCATCACCACAGAACACATCCAGTCTGTTCATCCACATTAGTGTGCAGTGCTTCTATTAAACACTGCCAGAAGCAGTGCACTGCTTCAACTATTTCATGAAATCCAGCCATATGGCTTTGATATCAGTGGAAAATATGACTGTAGGCCTTGTGTGCTTTCAGTCCATCCCTGCCTTCTTTTCTAGAATATGCATGACAGCGGTGAGCGATACAGAGTCCGCTCATCCCGGCCAACTTTCCCAGCTTAGGATCTCTGACCTTAGCCGGTCTAGCAGTTGACAGCAGTCCCAGGATGTCTCCAGTCAGCACAACTTCAGGTGTCTGTCAGCGCGGCCGAGGCAGGAAAAAGCGTTCGACTTTATGTTGTAATATCTGCGCGGAGATGGAGTTTGGATGGAAGCGTATTCCCCCTCTGTGGTGCCGTTTCCTCCGCTGAGAGCTGGCCTGCTTCACCAAGTGACTCACCGCTCAGCCATGCAACAAACAGGGATGCTTATCCCAACTCAGATCTGTGCAGTTCAGTGTCAGCCTTTCTGCTGTGTCAGCTGTTGTGAGCTTTCAGTGTAGAATCTGGTTGCTTACAAACCACAGCGGATATAACATTGACGTCTTGTTAGTCGATACATTTGTATTCAAACGGCTGCACAGTCTGTCCACCTTTGTGCTGATCATCCAGGTCTGGCCGCTGTGCCAGCAGGGCGGGATGGCAACTTGGATCCACTTTTCTTTCTCAGCGGTGTCCTTGAGCTCTTTTGTTTAGATAGCATAAAGAAGTCGATGCCCTACTGTCTGCTGTCTGAGCCAGGGTTTTTTCCCTTTAGACAGCCAGCTCCTATCTCCCACTGACCGGCTTGATTAGTAAACCAGGACTTAATGAGTCCCACTAACAGAATATCTTTTGAATTATTGCTGTTATTACAGGTTGTTGTGAAGGTTTTATGTGATCTGCCTCTTTAGACACACATATTGTCTCTAATCGGTACGTTATGTGCTTTAATATTTAAGATAGAAAAATGCTTGCAGCGCATCGCTCTGCACAAACACTCTTCTGCTGCACTTGCTCTAGGAGGGTATCGTGAAATCTGCAGTCACATTCCTTTGGTATCTCCTTAAAGCTTGTGATCATAGCTTAAGGATGAAAAACTTGTTTTCTGATCAGCAGAGTGCTTTACTTTGCTATAGTTTTCCTTTTGAGCTCACTTTTATCTGGAATATACTGTATTTCTAGTCCAGCTGTGGCTCTGAATCATGCCTCAAAGGTTAATATTTAGTAAACTATCCTTATAGTATTGAATGAGTCTCTCTGTTTCACATGGGGTCGTGCAACCTTTTATAATAGCTGCGCATTGTATAGTTTTTCTTCGGCTCATTCTTCTTCCTGCTAAACACCCGACCAACCACATGACTTGGCTGCTTCTACAGAATAGATTTTCTTTCTGTTCTCTGTGTTGATGTGAAGTTGGTTTTGATAGTAGCGGTTTGGCTCGTAATTACCAACTTATAGTGGTTAGGTCAACCTTATTCTTGCGCACCCTGACGCTGATAAGTTCAGTCTTTTAGAGCAGCTTTTGTGGTCACTGCTCTTGCGATCTGCTGAATGCTTAAAAGTGTAACTTTTTTATTGTCACCACTTGGCACAAGAGCATCAACCCTAAGCCAGGCTCCTTGAAGACTGTGAGAAAGGAGGAGGGGAGCCAGCCGTAGGGTGGAGGAGACCAACCCCTGTCAGGGTACGAAGAAGCCCAGATCTAACCCCGAGATGGCTCCCTGATCACAGCCTTGTTTCACCAGCCGGGTCCCGACTCCTCTGGTTTTGGGGGTTTGATGAATGGAGTGAGATAAACATCCAAAGCGTCCAGTTGTTGAACGCTTCCTGTTTGGTGTCGCCCAAGTCCTCTCTAGCAGCCAGCAAAGGGAGCAGCGGCGGGACAAAAGTTCACGACTTCCAGTTAGCCAGCTGGTCAGCCTGGTGAGCCAGTCAGCTACAGAGCATTCTTCTTTGCCCAGGCATTTTTGGAGGATGATGTGATGTTCCTGGGTATGGGTGGGATTCGAGTGTTATGAAACTCAGACGCGTGAGGCTAAATTCTTGCTGTGGTCGGAGTGAATATTTGACAAGTTGTAAGGAGCGCTGTAATGCCGATTTCACGGTTAACACAGATTAGTTTTCATTCCTGTTCAACTGTATTTAGTGCAACAATAGAATTTTCTGATGAATGTCGGCAGCAGCACGTTTGATATGTTTGAATTTACAGGGGAACTTGGCATCAGTTAAAAGTTTCTCTATCAAAGGCGACGATAAAGTTTAGCAGGGGGAAGGAAATTAGATTTTATTTGGCACTGGAGATGGAAAGAGAGCATGTTAGCTTTATGAATACTTTAATTTAGCCCTTAGGATGTTGATGCTTTTTCACTACAGCTGAAAATGCAATGAAAGGCCTCAGCCGCAGGTTCCCCCATTGGTTTTGTCAGCACTGTAACTCCCAGTCTCTGGTTCAGAGCTCTGCAGCTGCCTCTGTAATTAGCCAGACAAAGACCTTTTTGAGTCAGAAATGGGCCGTGTTGGACAACACACAGGAAAAAAGCAAAGTATTATAAAAACAGAAGGGTTTGGATCGCTCTAAACCTTTGAGTAATATCACTTACATGATGCAAGGTAACAGCTGGCGAAGAAAACAAGATCAGCTCAGAATTCTCCTCCAAGATTAATTAGACTGAGTTGCAACAGTGCAGAAGATTTGTGTTGGTCTGCATTCGTACGTGTACGGGACAGCGAGGCCTGGGAATGGAGCCATTTTAATACCCGCGGGCTCCGCGAGATATAGAATCTGTCCTGTGCTGAGCGCACAGGAGGCCCTGTAGGAAGCATGGGCACATTATAAAAATGCTGTGCAGTGAAAGATTTGAATAATGACTAAAACTGCTGTCAGCAAACTGAGCTGGAGCTTTACAAACAATAAACCGAGCTATTGAACGTAACATGACGCACTCATGACAGTGACAAAACACTGAACAGGTTCCTGCCTTGCACTTCCTGTCAGCACTGCACAGATCTACAAACAGCTGTCTATGTAGCTCCCCCTGTTAATACTGAACTTTTTCTTTGACTGCCATTAATAATTAAGAATTTTTTAATAAATCATGCTTTGATAATTGTTTTTTTGGTGGTTTTTGTTTTAAAAACACCTTTTCCAAAGGAGCTGTTTTATTTCTTGACCAAAAAATATATATTTGTGCCTCACGGTGAAAGTGAAACAGATGATTATGTGTAAATTAGTGTGTCACC